GCTTTCATTTTAACTGGAAACATTTTTTGTCTGAGCTACCAACATATTTCTCTCTATATTTCCCTTTTTTCATTTCAATAAAATGACTATATGTTGAATAATTATTTAATTTTAAAAGAATAAAGAAATTTTATTTGTCTATATATTCAAAAATAAATTATATATATAAACGTATCAAATATATACACTATGTATATAACTATAGATAAAATACCTTTATAATTCTTCATAATACTATGTTAATAATCCCTATGCACCTAAACAATTCAATTATTTGAAGTAGGAACTGGAATTCTCTAATCTGAAATTCTGTACTTATAATTGAAGTGGGATTATTTTTTGGTGAATAAAATACATTTCTTAATATAGACACTATCTTCTTAGTTGTATTTTGAACAAATAATCCAGTTAATTTTTCTACATTGTTCCCTATCCTATTAGGATTTCAAATTCAAGATAAAACAAAAATAATAATATGTAATATGGATCTACTCTGTTCATAATAAAGCATTGTGTACTTTTAAATATTAGATTTTTTGGTTTTAGGTTATTAACAAAACACTTGTTGATTTTCAGTTGCCATATAGCACTTCTTGCATACTCTATTATTCCACAGAAAAAGAGACAAATACATATGTTATTTTTATATTCTAAAACTGAGTTTAGACTTTATAATAGTCTTTCATCTTCTTAGTTAACTTATTATTTGTAGACATTAATAAATAACATAATTATGTCATTATTATCAAACATGTTGTTTATTATAATATGAAAATGAATGTGTAATACACAGAATATGTAATTACATTCATATAAATGTATAAGTGTGTAAGAACAGGGGCTGGGAAATCAGATTAGTGGTCACACAAGTGCCCAGCATAAAGAAGCACTTTAATCCATATTACTGCAAATAATTTATCTAGCTTATTTTATATATTTATATAATATATATGCTTGTATATATTTGATATACATAACACATATACATATAACCTATACACATATAACCTATACACATGCATGCATATCATATATGTAAGATAGATAGATAGATAAATAGATCATGTATATATATGCAAGCACACATATGCATGCATGTCTAAGCTATATGTCCAGCTGTCTTAGTCACTTTCCTGATGCTGTGACAAAATATGATATATGACAAAATATGAACACCAACAACATCCACAACTTTGAGGAGAAATGTTTATTTTGGTTTATGGTTTCAGTTCACACATATGTGGCTCCAAGTCAGACACCAGATGACACAGTGTCAGGGTAGAGGAAAAATTGTACAACCCATGACAGCCATGAAGTCTAGAGAGAAGGGAGGAGTTCGGGACAAGAACAGAGCCCACCGAGCCACACCCTCAGGGACCCACTTCCAAGGAGGCCCCTCCCCTAACAGTGCATGCAGCTACTGAATACAACAGATAAATCCATTGATGAATATAGCACCCCCACCAATCTATCATTCAGACACATGAGACTTTCAGGAGACATCTTAGATCCAAGCCATAACACCAGCTTGTGTGTGTCTGCTTTTGTTTGAGGTACTGTCTCACTGAATTTGTCCCGGTTGGTTTGACACTTGCAGTAGACTTTCCTTACAGCCTCCAGGTAGATGGGATTATAAGCATGTGCCACAAACACAGGCTGGAAAAAAAATAGCTTTTAGTAGTGAATCATTTCAGAGAATAACTCATTACACTATTTTGTTGTTGTTACTGAAGTGAATTTAAAAACTATAATGGTATTGGGACTCAGCATTAGAGAAGCTCAAACAACAATGATAGTTTTGGGGACTTAAAAGTTTTTGTCCTTTCCAAAATTCAGGCGGGAAACAATTTTCAGTGCATCAGTTTGTGTGTTAACTCATGAATACTCTGCCCTCATGAACGGGTTTCATGCCATTATAACATGCTTTGATGAAAGGAATTTTCCACTTTATTCCATTCTGCCCCTGTAGATGATGCCATGAGTCCTCGCTTGGTAAACACAGCCAAGGCCCTCACAAGGCACTAAACCTGCACCACTTTGACCTTAGACTCTTAGCCTCCAATATCAGGAAAAAACTAGTTTCTGTTCTATGTTAATTTTCCAACATTTGATAGTTTGCTACAGCAGTACAAAGTGATTGACAAGTTTTTCCATTTAAAAATCTCTGAAAGCTTGTTATTTTATGACAGTCTCTTTAATGAGTGTAGATACCTCACTTACATCTTTAAGAAACAAAATTAAGAAAATTAAGTTACTGATTATATATTATTTTCTTGCTTTCCTTATCCTCCTGGTGTATTTCTTATATCACATTGAAGATAGTAACCTTAATCAGATACACTTGTCTCCAAGGTGCCTGACCCTCCAGCATGACAGTGTATGTGTAGACTTTGCTGAGTTAAACTTTGTGAAGGACATGTTGTCAAAGGAAGTTATGAACTGAGCATCTCTGAAATAAGGATGTTGGAATATTTCCATGTGTTATTGTTATATCACTCCCATGCTCATGTTTTTCTAAATATCTGACTACATTCACAGGCAACAGTACCACTATCATAAGTCAACAGTAAAATGGATAGAATGAGATATGATATACAAGTCATGTGTTCAGACAAAATGAAAGCCTAATGCCAATAGACTGAAATGAACAGAATTTGAATACTGGATAAAATATAAATAATTTGCATGAGAAGTAGTTTAGAATCAAATCAGCCCATATTCAAATGTCCTCCGTGATAGAAATTTCCATATGTGTAGCTTTAGAAGCAACTTGTCAGCAGGCAAATAGCCCTTTAAGTAATTTTAAATAATGTAACTATTATCAACTATGAAATATGCTTTAATTTTAAAGGCATACAAAGTTCAAAAATTCTAAATATTTTAATTTTAGTATTCTAATTTGGAATATTTAAATTATTTTATAATGAAAAGAATACTCAGGTTCTGTGGAATGATTTTTATGTCTCATCAAAGTAGGCTATTGAAACATTAAAGTGAAGTAACAAAGCTAAATTGAAAGCTGTCTCATTAAGGTAGAGAGAACTTTCACTAGAAAATGTCCCATACATAAATGTACTGGATTATATGCCCCATATTATACTCATCTTTTTTAAACCTTAGCGTTTATCATACATCATAATGATGATCTGTACATTTTTTGCCATATTCAATAGAATAATAAAACAATTATCTTTTTTGGACAGGTGTTCAACAAATATAGTCGAATGAATGACATAAAAATTTTATGTTGCTTTTCCAATGATAAAATAACTGTGAAGGAATTTTATGTATGTGGAAGAGGGAAACAATATAAATGATTATTCTCCCTGCATATAAAGTACAGAACAGATTAATATTTTTATATTGCATGCTGAAATAAGAGTGTCTTTATTTCAATGATGCCAAACTGCACCTATTAGAAAAACATCGTAGTCAGTGAAATGGCCTACTGCATAAGCTGAAATTTCCACATTGATTATCTGTATAATCCATCTCAACCTTAATCCTGAATGTCACTCATACCATCTATTATTTAGAACTCTGTTTCTTTGCCTCCTAAGAGTATTGTGTTCTGACTCAGATACCCTTTCACGCCTTGCTACACAAGGTCTAGACTCCATTGAAACTGTCAACTTTGTCCTATTGATTCCGTTTGCTTCAACATGTTCTTGAAAGATTTCTTCTGAGCAACTGTTTTACAAATTATTGTTTTCAGTTCTTCAGAAACATTTTCTTTGGAATCTTATTGTCATTAATTTTCCTCATTTGAGTAGCCTTGCAGAACAAATAAACTAAATAACGACTCAATTGTTCAGCATTTGTGAGTATTCAAAAAATAAATACTTTGAAAATTTGTCAAGATGTATTGTCAAAAAATGTTTTCTGTGTATGGATAAAATGCTGCTTTCACCATGGAACACATCAGTTCCAGATGATACAGATATTGCAAATTGGAAAGTGTTATTATTTTACCATTGTCATCGTTATCGTCACTAATATTTATGCTTTAAAAAATGACTATTTTTACAATTAATAATGAAAAGTTTTCCAAACAAAAGTTACTTGCTCAGTTTCATTGAGATACAAAGGATCAAATCTGGATCAGAACACCACAGACTGAAACATAATTTTACCACCATGTGTTATTCACATGTGGTTTCATTTTTATGATCAGTCGATATGATTTAAAAAAGAGTTGCGAATGAATAAACAAAATAGGTGAATAAATAATTATTGAAACTCATAGAACTGAGAATACACTTAACCTAAGGAAATTGTTATACACCAACTGAAATGAAACATTAGAAATTTGAATGATTTTTAAGTAAATAAGTTTTATAAGAAATAATCAATAATGATAAAACAAAACTATATGATCTAGATCATTTTTCAAGTAATACAAGTAAAATATGAATAGAGTGTTATACTTCCATGTACAAAATTATTATACTTTTCTGGAACTGTTAATTTATAAAATGGAACATATAGGAATGGTTTTGGGAACATATTCTTAGTCGTTATTCAATTAGATTAGGTGTGAACCAATAGATGTAAGGACTACAAGAGAATTTTTTGAGGGAAATGATGAAAAAGAAGAAACATTTTAAAGGAATCTGGTTTCCTAGTAGGAAGCCAATTACATATATGTAATAGTTCAGTGCACACTATATATAGCTGTAAATACAAGATATTTTTGCAGAATGCAGACTATGTAAATATTTTGCACACAGTTTAACTACGTTTCCCAGGACAGCCTGCAATTTGCCATGTTTATGGTTCAATTTCCACAAAAGCTGGAATCACAGGCATGAGCAACTGCTCCAGGTTCCAGGAGTCAGAAGGACCCCGATTCCCTTGCTGAAAGATCTGAGCTCATGAATCATTTCCCAAACATCTTACCTCCTAACACCTTCATTTGGGAGGTTAGAATTGTAATATATAGGTGTTAATAAAAAACAAGCACCCGATCCTTGCAAGTGTAATCCTTTCTCTCTTTTCAGTGCTTCAGAGAAGATTTGGGAATTTAAGGAGACTTCATGAAAAGAAGAAAGATGAACACCATTTATTTATTCTCCTGTATTTTCAGAGGGACAGACAATGAGGATGCTGCAAATATTGAGTAAATTTCTCACCCCAATACTTTTTTTTACCCCAATACTTTTTAAACAATAAGCTATAATACACAGTATCATGCTATGAACATAAAATTTGGCAGAAGTCTCTAAGTATTATACTTTTTAATATATATGGACAAATATACTTGTTTTCTTTCTTTCTTTCTTTCTTTCTTTCTTTCTTTCTTTCTTTCTTTCTTTCTTTCTTTCTTTCCTTCTTTCTTTCTTTCTTTCTTTCTTTCTATTTTTATTTTTTTGGTACCCAGAATCGAACTATACTTGTTTTCTTATATAAGAAGTATGGTATGCAGGAATCTAAAAATAGTACGCAATTATGCTCTTGTATATCCTGTTTCATTTGTATGTGGAAAGTACACATACAAGATAGCACTAGAATGACTGTTCCTCTATATGACGAAAGGAACTGAATCAAGGCAGTCCTAATATAATTGCAAACTTTAAAAACATCATTTCTTTCAGATTCACAGCAACAAGGAAAGCAGAGAGCTTCACTGTATTAAGATGGCTTGGATATGCCATAGCTGGCTTTGAAAATCAAGGAATGAAAGAAAATTCCAAGAGGGAAGAACATACCCTAGATGATGGTAATAAAGATAAAAGAGTATTGGTTCTACACTGCAGGGGTCACAATTTGGCCAACCTGTTGAACGCGCTCAAAACTTGATTCTTTATAAGGTCTCAGATAAGTCTGACAAACAACCTCGGCCTTGTGAAACTCTTCAGAGAGAACATAATTAATCCCACCTGGGCTTCTGACCTACAGAAATGTAGGTTGATAAATGCGCATTATTTTACTAAGTCTTTCGTAATATATTAGACAGAGTTAGGAAAATAAGAAATGATATAAGACCTTTGCTTCTAAACTCTGATCTTTGTGGTGCAAATGTCAGTTCACATGGATTTATATATGAAATATATAAGTATATTTCTTATGCATGTCACTATATGTAATTTTACTTTGGGCCTTTTTGATTAATATTTGTAAATATCAAAGAAAAAAAAATAGCACATTTTACCAGCTAGCAAGCTCCTGTGAGTCAGTAGTGACACTGTTGGCAAAGCCACCCAAGCTCCAAAGACATATAAATCCCATCCCTACTCCTAGAGAGAGACAGAGAGAGAGAGAGGGAGAGAGAGAGGTTAGACAATCTTAAATAAAAGACTTTAATTATCTTTTAAAGTGCCATCTGGACTTTATAGAATGAATGGTCCTTTAATTGTCTGAGTTTCCCCTTTCTTTCTGTAAGCCCCCCAGTACCGTCAAAGTAGCCATATCACGTTATAGTCAGCACTAACATTGCTTCAGTTCTCGCTGGCTTCTTTCCTAAGAAGTACCCATGAAATCAGAATCCCCCAACCACCATCAGCAAAATCACAATACTACCATTTCCCCAGAAAAGAAAATCTTCCAATTTAAAAATTTTACTCTGAGAATTTTTCTACTGGTCACACTGAAATTAAATTTTTCATGTGATTCTAAAACAAAGCTAAATGCGCTGATTTCTGTTCAGATTGCACAGATCTTTTGCCTTTTGCTAAAACAAAGCTAATGCATTAATATTTAATAGATGGTTCAGTCCAAGGAAACCAAGAGTGTAGGGACAAATAAATTTTGATCTGGTGAAAAGGAAGGGAATTTCAAATTGGCTGCAGTGTGAAAGAAAATCTCAAAAATAACAAAAAATGTCATATTTTTTCTTCACTCATTGCTCCAGTAGAACAAATTTAAAGTTCTTCTTTTTTTCTCTCTCTTAAATCAACCAACTAGAAAGGAAGATGTTAAATAACAGTGCTGGGGCAAAGAACTTCAAGGAAAGGGCAGTTTTGATATTTGACGAGGGCACAAGTTTTGGTTCTTATGCAAGTCTGCACTCTCTCAGTGAAAACAATAAGGGATAACTCTGGGGTCTCTTTCATGATGGTGCAAATCCCATTCATTGGCCTGCATCCTCAAGACCTAATACCTTCCCAGAAGTCACATTTCATAATGTCATCACTTTGGGTGCTAGATACATTTGGAGCGAACATAAACAGACACAGTTGCATTTCTGTTTCTTTAGTTTCAAAAGGGCAAAAAAACTCTGCTCCCCAAAATGCTCCATCTATTTCAATACAAACAAGAAATGTCTATTCTCACACAGAAACAATGTAACTCAGTGACACCGCTTCTGCCTGGCAAGCGCAAGGTACTGAGTACGATCCCTGGTACAAAGAAATACTGAAAAACATTTTTTTTTCAGTATTTTATTGTTCATAGAAGCTTGCAGATGTGCACTGAAGGCCCAAAGTATTTAAAAGTACACACACAAATATTTTTGAAGAATTTTATAACCTTAATATAATTTCTTTAGCTTAAATATAAAAATACAAATAAAATGTGTGGCATTGTGATAACAGTCAAATAAAAAATTCTGATGGACAAGTGTGCAACAGCGTAAATGTATAGCATTGTGAATTACAACTTATTGTCCAGTTTCAAAGGTTGATCAGTAGACAACTAGAGGGTAACACACAAGGAAAGCCAAAAACCACAGGTAGCGTAACCTCCACACAGGCGTATTATATTCCTCGGTAGGGCCAAATTATATGAACAATAAATGCCAAACAATGGCAGCAAATTAAGTGTTGAGAAATTTATAAACAAAATATATTGAAAAATTTTAAAGCAAAGTTTCAGCTTTCAAAGAGAATAAACATATGTGTATGTGTCACATGTCTGTTAGTGTGTATGTATGTGTTACTATTCATGTTCACATTTATCTATTATTTCAAACCTTGTATATTTTCTCTAAGGATAAATTTTAAAAATATATATGTGTTAATAAAGAGACTAAAATATTAAGGTGATTTTACAAGAATAAAGTATAGAATAGAAATCTCTGCTTAGCATAAAGTGTAGTGTATCTAGGTTTTGTTTTTGAGGTATTTCATCAAATATGACTACTTAAATAGTTAAATACACGTGTAAAGATAATTGGTGTTTGTCATGCAAATTTTATCATAGTTTAAATAAAATATTCTACATGAAACAGCTTACTTTTGCATTTATTTTCTACCATATATTTTGTGGAAATTTACATTTCAATATGCATTTTGCAAACAGAGGTGCATATATACACTCATAAGAATAATTTCAAATATGATATCCGTTCTCAAGAAAATAACAAATTTTGTACATTTATGAGCATCTTTGGGTAAATATAATCATTTGTTTTCTAGAAACAATGGCTCTAAGTGACTATAATCTGAAAGTGAACTCCATGTTTACAAAGTTAAGCACATGGCTTTATATACATGTTTTAAATTACCATTTTTTAAGTCGATTGGTGAAAACATTAAAGTTCCTGTGTGGAACAGTAGAATATCAGCTCAGAAATCTGATAATCAGCAGAAAGTATCAGATGTTTCCGAATCATTGCAAATTGTGAGAGCAAAACCTCAAGGAAAGTAACCACATCTTTGCTAGCTGTACCCCAGAGCGTACGGGCAAATATGAGTGAAATATTTACTTTGATAAAATAGGAAATTTGCTTTGCTTAAATTATATACATTTTCTGTCTGTTACTATTTCCCAAGATTCTTTCCAAACACAAAAGATAATAGTTTTGTCTTGTCTTTGGTACATTAGTCATGACAATGAATTGGATAGAGCTGGATATCTAAAGCAAAAAAGAAAATAATTTTTGGAAAGCACAGAATATTTAATATTTTCTTTAAACCTAACCTCAGTCTTTAAACATGTTTTGCATGGAAACATAAATAAATTGTTTTTCTGATGTTTATATTAATAAACTTGGTCTTGATTAATTCAGATACATCAAGAAGAAACACAAAGATGCATTCATTCTATTTCAAAACCATTTGTAACAAATGTCAAGTGTACATGAAGAGTTTATTCTAATTCATGCTACACTATTTGTATTGCAATGCAAATATACACATATCCCTATCATTATAATTGTTTCATTTCCAAAGAAATATAGCCATGCCCATTATCTCATTTCATACCTAAAGTTAGAATTCATTATCTTACATTCTTTAGTTTAATACATCTAAATTTATAATATGTAAGTTGATTTTAGAAACAAGTATTAAAATGCAGTCTGTTTCAATGGTGCAGAATAGGTAGGACCTGTGTTTTCCAATTTCTAACACCATCCAAGGTTATTTTAAAGCTTACCCTTCTACAGACTACACAGAAAACAAGTTTTTTGCAAAGAGTCTTCTGATGTTTAGGCAAGTGCACATTACCTAATGATCCCATTAGGTAAAAACTAGTCACAGCCCTGTCTAATTTCCTATAGCTGCATAAAGCTTCATTCGTGTTTTAAAGTAGCGCTCACTTGGGTGAATTTTCTGCCTTCCATAATGCAGAGTCCAGTAATTGGGACAGAACTAGGAACCGTGTGTCAGTATATTCCATCTGGTGATCTGGGGATCCCAGACCACCTTCAGCAGGCTTGTCTCTGTCTGGCATAGAAAGAGGAGGAGAAATCAGAGATCACTAAGTGAGAGTGGTTTATTACAGACGTTTCTAGAGGAAGCAGTAAACAGCCACTCCAGTGGAATGGGGGCTCAGAGCTGACACACTGCTGAGTGCAGGCTGACAGCTTGGTTTTTATAGGTCAGAGGTCCCATCCCACTTATTTTCCATTTTTCTTTTCGGAAAATTCCTACAGGATTTCTCCTGTAGAAAAGGGCATTTGTTATGGTGAGCGCTTATAATGAGAAACCATCCAAGTTGTGTAAGAGGAAGTTTCCAACAGCAGGCTGTCAGCTCAGCAGCTGGCTAAGATGCAGAGATGGGTTTCTTTTCTTCTTAAAAGCCTATACTTTCTAGACTAATCCTACTTAAGGGTCCCCACTGTCCCTACACTCCCTCCTCAGGAAATGGAAATGACCATCCATCTCCTGTTGGGATCAGGGCCAAAGGCCACTCTGGCTACTTTCTGCTGAGTGGTGGGCGAAGGCTGGGCCGGTGCAATCCATGGACTACATAGGGAAGTTGATCTAGCAAGCCAGGGTAGAAAGAAAGAGGAACCTCCTTAGGAAATTCTGTCTGGAGGACCATCTGCATCTTGGCACATTATGACTGAAATGAATCAAGTGAGGCAATTAAGTACATAGAGGCCAAGAATGCACAGCTATAATATAGCCATTAAAGATCTCAAAAGAAGAAGGCACCAAGAAAATATGGAGCCTAGCCAAGGTTCGATTTGGGAGAAAATCTGAGACACCAGGGAACCCTCAGCCTCGGAATCATGGAGCCACTCAGCCTTGTCCAAAATGAAAATGCTTCTAATTTCCACTTGTTGCAATGTATTGGCATAAGAACAGGACAGGCCATAAAGCACTGCACAAACACCTCCTAGCAAGGGATCATCCAATCTAGGACCTGTCAGTGTTCCAGAACCATGCTTGTCAAAGGATTTAGAGATGTTTGTACCTCCCTGAAGTTACTTCCTGAAGACTCTGAAGTTACTTCCTGTCTCCCAAAAGCCTCATGCAGTCAGAAGAAGAGCTTTTTCAGAGGTGGCTGAATCTAGAGTATGTGACTGATTCATGGTGTAATTCTAGAATTGAGGGTGTTAGGATTAATGGTGGGTGATCACTAAACCAGACCACTGATTGGTTGAGCACCACCCTAATTCCAGTTGCCTGTACACAATGTAATGAAATGAAAGAGGGCTGTCTTGCCTCTTGTTTACATTGAGATTCTTCCAGCTATGAATTCTTTCTTCACTTCAATGCCTGTCTGAGATGCTAACCTGCCAATTATGGACTGAAACCTCTACAAACTGTGAGCTAAATAAGCCTCTTCCCCTTTAACTTTGAATTTAATGTATTTTTGTCTCAGCAAGGAGAGAAAAATAACGGATACAGTACTCTATAACTAAATATTCCTTTTAGTCAAATTATTTTGGTCTCTTCCACAGTATAGGCTTTTTATACCATATAATTAAAACTACCCTACACTTTCCTGACATATACTAGAATCAGAAATAGAACTGAAATATATTTTTGTTATAGTAGGATGTTTTATCCTGACTTAGAGAAATACAGTTTCCACAATGTCCAGTTTATGAATGTTTGCCAACAACCATCTTTCAAATATTCCAGAGGTTAAAGTGTAGTAAGTACATAAATGAAGTTAGCTTTCATTACAGTAAACATGCGATACATTATCCTAAGGGAAGCAAGGGAAAAATAAATGACCCTAAATATTTTCTCAATCATATGAGAGCAGTGCATTTTTCACGGTTTGTTAAAGAATAACCCAACTTTGTGTTCCAGAGTGCAGCTTTGAATAAGCCAAGAAATTATTCTGTTCAGAGAACATCACTGAGTCTAGAGTAATTATTTCATATTTTATTATTAATTTACATTTTTGAGATTTGCAAACTTCAGAGAAACTTTGCCTTAAATAAAATTTTCAATTTTTGAAATACATAGAAACATAGAAAAAATATATAAATATGTCACAAAGCATTATGCTATCCAGGAGTTACTGAGCCTTTATTCAGTCATTTTTCTGATAAAGATGACGAATAATATTGTTGCAACAAAATGTTTTTCAGGGCTTGGGATTTAGTTCAGTGGTTCCACCTCCTGCTTCACAAATACAAGGACCTGAGTTCGATCCCTGGTACCAAAAAACAAAAACAAAAACAAACAAACAAACAAAAAGCAAATGTTTTTCACATGAGAAGCCTCCTGATTGTATCTGCATGCTGTGCAAAAATGGATATTTTAGATATAATTTAATGAAGAAGAAGGAGGAGGAGGAGGAGAAGGAGAAGAAGAGGAAGAAGGGATAAGTCTTACTTGTAAAGATGACCTAGTAGTAGCACAAAGATCCTTATAAGACAGGGCAATAGAATATTTGGGTCACAATTGTAAGGATGGTAGTGATGATCACAGGGTTAAGAAGCACTAACTGACTGGCTTTCACTTTAGCAAAGTTGTACCAAAAAAAAAAAAGTTGGACCATAAGAAAATAGAGGTAAAATATAGAAGTTAGAAAAGCCAAAGAAATACATTGTCTTCTGCAGCCTCCAGAGAGGAACACTGCAGTTGCATAATGACTGTAGCTCACTGTAATTTATTTCAGCCATCTCATCTTCAGAAATGTAATATAATAAATTTGGGTTAAGATCTTCATGAGTGGTAAATTGTTTCTGCAGCAATAGGAATCTCATATATATCTACAGGCAGTAACCAGTAGTTCTTAACAAGGAAATGTACTCATTTAATACATGGACCCTTTATTTCATTTATTATATTACTATTTTATACAGTATA